CAAACTCGTCGGATCGCCGTTGTTTTCACACAGCGTGACTATCTGGGGTAGCATTCAGTTGCTGCGGTGCTCACATTGCACGATGGATCGGCGACAGGTTACATATTGCATGATTTCACAATAGGAAGAATCGCCGACAGCTCTGTCTGGTCCGCAAACTACGTTTCACAACAAAACACACGCGAGAAGTGATAAGGAAATAACGCGAGAACCCGCGTGCGTCAGACCGGAGTTCTCCAGCAAGACTGAAATTATTTAAAAATATATATATAGACCGCAAACTGTCTGTGAGCTGATTTCCAGCTACAAGGAGAAAAAGAAAAACAGATTATGCAGGAGGGAGATGCAGGGAACAGGGATTGGGTGTTCTGCAAAGAGAGTTGGAGGTAAATCATTTTGCAATAACTGTTATGCTGTTGTGGCTGGTCAAGCAAATGTTTGTGCTTGGTTCTGTATGATATAATTGTTCATATATCTATTAAAATACTGATATTCTGGTCTTTAACTCCTACCCGAACTTCCCTCTGCCCTGTATCTTGGTCTCTGATTGGCTGTAGGTCATCGCCGATGTAGTTTTCAGTCAGAAATCATTGCACACAGCTGATTGTGAATCGCCGGCAGCTCCAGATATTTCAAATATTTAATATTTTGCGTGCTGCGGCGACATGTCTACGATTCCCTCAGATCGCGTCTTTGATAATTCGTGATTATCCAAAATCATGGCTAAAATCTTGCAGTGTGAACGCATAACTGTTTATATTGTCTTCAAAGCCAACGGCACAAAATCTTACCAAAACACCCCAGAACAGCTGCTGCATACGAATGGTAGAAAGTCTACATTGAAACACGAAAATTATTAAAATAATCCGCATGATATTCCTTTTTTGCTGCTGACTCACATCACACTGATGTTACAGCTTATGTTTACAAAGGCTATTTGTATAAATAAAGCCTCTAGAAACAGGCTGTAAATTGTGATTTCTACTAGAAATTACTCTATTTTTCAATGGCTTAGATGGGGAAACTTTAAAGAACGTACCTTTTTGTTTGCAAGATTCAATTTCACAATGTTTTCCAATATTTAGTTCAGCCATTTTAAATGACGTCACACAATAATTTCAACATAAAAGTCTCTTTGAAAAAAAAAAACCGTTTACTAAAACTTTGAAAAGTTCAATGTTTTTATTGTATTGCACACAGCTGATTGTGAATCGCCGGCAGCTCCAGATATTTAGCATGCCAAATATTTTGCGTGCTGCGGCGACATGTCTACGATTCCCTCAGATCGCGTCTTTGATAATTCACACTGCGTGATTATCACTCGCGTGAACGAGCACCGATTTGCCTCCGATTTCGGGCATTTGTCGGCGATTTCCTAAAATCATGGCTAAAATCTTGCAGTGTGAACGCATAACTGTTTATATTGTCTTCAAAGCCAACGGCACAAAATCTTACCAAAACACCCCAGAACAGCTGCTGCATACGAATGGTAGAAAGTCTACATTGAAACACGAAAATTATTAAAATAATCCGCATGATATTCCTTTTTTGCTGCTGACTCACATCACACTGATGTTACAGCTTATGTTTACAAAGGCTATTTGTATAAATAAAGCCTCTAGAAACAGGCTGTAAATTGTGATTTCTACTAGAAATTACTCTATTTTTCAATGGCTTAGATGGGGAAACTTTAAAGAACGTACCTTTTTGTTTGCAAGATTCAATTTCACAATGTTTTCCAATATTTAGTTCAGCCATTTTAAATGACGTCACACAATAATTTCAACATAAAAGTCTCTTTGAAAAAAAAAACCGTTTACTAAAACTTTGAAAAGTTCAATGTTTTTATTGCCTCTCCTTAAATGAACCATAAAGGAATTTCAGAAAATACTGATGATCATTCAGTTTATTTATTCTTAAATGTCTTGTGCCTAGTTTGGAATGCATGAATTTAGACACTATTTCAACTGAACTGAGCTGGATGATGACATCACTGAATTCAATGATGAACTGTCTTTAACTGAAAATTGAGTGTTTACTATTGTCACTTTGCATTATTGACACACTATTTTCCTAATTAATGCTGTACAGTTGCTTTGACACAATCTGTATTGTTAAAGGCGCTTTATAAATAAAGGTGACTTGACTTGACTAATAGGAACGCCCACCTGCAGGGCAAAACAAGGCTTTCCTCCACTGTCTGCCAGTTATTTTTACAAGGTTTGTATTAAGTATGTAATATAACAGTGATATTAAAGCCAAATTCAGTATTCACCTTATTGATGATGCATACTTTGTACAGGCAAGCAGATAAACCCAGAATTAAAACGCAATATGCAAAGTTTTACATTAAATATTTTCCCATAGAAAACCATTACAAAGAAAACACTTAACTATTTAGCATATTGTGTTCATATTCAGGGCTCATCTGCTTGCATATATAAAGTATGCATCATCAAGGTGTATGCTCAATTTGATTTTTTACTGTTTTATTAGCTACATTGAGGCACTTTCAATGTTTTTCACATTAAACGTTTTTGAATATCCTGCTGTTTTAGTGATTAAAATATTGCGCCAGTTGCTTGCAAATAGCCAAAACTTTAATTTTGTTCACATATTTGTTTTAGTTTTTTCTTTTCAGAGGTGATCTAAATATTGGTGGCTTGGTAACAGATAGAAAATTGATAGGCTTGTGCAACAGTTCCATGAATGTTTTGCCCTCCTGGTCTTTGAGCCAGTCACATGGCCTAATATTCTTATAGTTTTTCTCAAGTGTTAAAACACTAAACTCCATTCTCTGAACCTAATGCTCAGTGGCTTATATCCATTTGTCAAATAAATCACTTACATTGCGAAATGCTGGAAGCAGAAGTTAAGCAACTACAACACAGTTGTTATTGTTTACACACAAGAACACAAAATGGTTCACATTTGTCACTGTTAGTTAATGTTATCCATGGATAAATGTGTGTTATTGAGTATTAATTATATTTTGTGTGTTTGTGTGTGTGTGTGTGTGTGTGTGTGTGTGTGTGTGTGTGTGTGTGAAACTGTGCCAGCTAAATCAATTATAGTGTGTTAGAGAAAAACTGTATCAACTTAATGTGGACATTTTAATTACAATGTTAAAGTTTTGTGGAAATGTGTGACATCCTCAGAAATGTCTCTTTTTTGTTAAATAAAATATCTATATGGTTAAATAGCTATGAAAAATAATTGGCCTATATACTATACCACTCAGTTTTTATGATTACACATGATCTGAATTGGACTCGGAGATGTCTACAGTACTGTGGAATACACCTGTGTTACTCAGAAATATATGAATAACGTTTTTCTCCGGGATGCGCCCTGTGTCTCAGAAAGCTCGGTCATCCATGTATCCATTTACAACTGCGGTCAGGCCAGCCTCCACTTTGAAAAACACGGTCATTCTAGCCGCCACGTTGTTTTGTGCGCGCATATACTAGGCGTTACGGTAATAGCTTGTAAAACTCAGATAAAGGGAAAAGCGTTCAAGCTCTCATGCGTTATGTCTCTCGCCCTCTCTCACTCTCTCGCTCTGATTTCCACAGTCTAGTTTCCCCACAGATTGACAGTACACTTTCTCACAGTGTCACTTACACCACTTCAGGACTTTCTGATGTTGAATTCCAAAATAAGAGCCCACCAAAACTTGTATACACTGTTTTGTCTACACAGTCCTAAAGTAGTGTAAGTGATACTATGAGAAGGCGTATTATCAATCTGAAGTGAAAGTAGTCTGTGTAAACGATGAGATACTGTTCCCAATCAATACTTCACTCGTACTGCTTCTAGTACGAGTGCTTCTAATATGCTTTGGGGGGGAAACTCCTTTTTTTCCGATGACTGAAGCCTTTCAATAACGCAGTGTAACTGCACAGCCATTGGTTCGTGCAGTGAATAAAAAAACGAACCAATGGCTCGGCAGCAGAGCTGCACAAGTCAAGGGCTCGGCAGCAGAGCTGCACGAGTCTATGGCGACAAAGCCCGCCAGAATGGGCGGGGTCATCTGACTATATAATCGGCCATTTTGCTGTAGGATTCTCAGATACTTCTCCTTCAGCAATGACTACTTGATCTTCGCTCTACGAGACTACGAAGCCTTCACCCGTGATCAAGCATCGCAGCGGATCGAGAGACCTCTTCCTGCTCGGCCATCTGTGCCGCTTCACGCCACCTTCGCCGCTACAGCAGCGACGGACCTGGCTCCACGTGCCACCAAGATGACAGCGCAGGCTATTGGCAGATCCATGGCCAGCCTAGTGGTGCTTGAGCGCCATCTATGGTTAAACCTCACGGAGATCAAGGATGTGGATAAGGTCCCCTTCCTCAACTCCCCAGTTTCCCCTACTGGCCTGTTTGGACCTGCAGTTGAGGGTTTCACCGAACGCTTTACCGCTGCACAGAAGTCATCCCAGGCAATGCGACACTTCCTGCCAAAGTGCTCCAGTTCGACAGCTGCTTCCAGTCGCGAAAAGAATGTGCCGACTCAGCATTCCGCGAAGTCCGCACCACCAGCTGCTCTCATGGCTCCTAAGCCCGAGCCTCGTCAACGCTCCCGCCAAGCACCCCGTTCACTTCCGGGTGCTGATGGCAATGTGTTTGTGGTAAATACTGTTGTGAACCCTGGGCCCGTTCAGTTAGCGCCCGCACAACTTATCGCTGTTATAGCAAGAAAAATAAAACACAAACATTTTCAAAAAGAGAGCAAATGTCCTCTTACACTCATTACAAGCGTCGGATCCCCATTTGGTGGCCCACTGCTCGAACCAATCCAACCACTTGCTACGTGGGCCGAGGCCTGGCAGGCCATCCCCAGAGTGTCAGACTGGGTTATGGGGATAATAAAACGAGGTTATACACTCCAATTCGCTCGAAGACCCCAGCGATTCAGAGGCGTGGTCTCCATCTCGGTTCAGAGCGAGGATGCACATGTCTTACGTGCCGAGGTGATGAATTTGCTGGCAAAAGGGGCAGTAGAAATGGTTCCCCAAGCCGAGAGCGAGTCAGGATTCTACAGCCGTTACTTCCACGTCCCCAAGAAGGATGGTGGCCTAAGGCCCATCCTCGATCTCAGGCACTTGAATCTCATGAGACGGCCGTTCAAGATGATTACATTGAAACAGATCCTCTCGCAAGTATGCCCAGGGGACTGGTTCTTTTCGCTGGACCTGAAAGACGCATACATACGCATCAAGATAGCCCCCCGTCACAGTCGATTCTTGAGATTCGCCTTTGAGGGAGTGACCAATCTAAACTGTTATACAAAACATCTTATGAGTTTTTGAAGGACTTCAATTTGTAATATTGCACCAGATAGTCCTGACATTGTGGGAGTGACAATGAGGAGGTGGTACTGGTTATCTGAAGTCAAAGTGGTCTGTGGAAACAGGGAGTTTCCTTTTTAAACCAATCCAAACTGACAGACAAAGCAGCTTAAATATGAGTTTTTAGAGGGCGTTTATTTTGGATCAGATAATTCTGTCATTGTGTGGGTGACTCTCTGAGCAGGTGTACCATCACTCTGAAGTGAAAGTGGCCGGTGGAAACCGGGAGTTTAATTTTTAAACCTATCAGAATTGACAGACAAAAGTGTTTTGGGGGGACTTTTATTTTGAAATTACACATCAGATCCAGACATTTGTGGGCGTGACACTCTGGGGTGCTGTACTATTATTCTGAATTGAAACTGGTCTGTGGAAACGAACTTTTCTTTTTAGAGCTATCCAAATTCACAGGCAGAACAGGTAGAATATGAGTTTTTGGAGGGTTTTTATTATGTAATGCAACATCAGCTCGTCCTAAAACTGGCTGAGTGACACCCTGGCGTACTGGATAACGCATGAGAGGAGAGAGAGAGAGAGAGAGAGAGGGCGAGAGACCTAACGCATGAGAGGAGAGAGAGAGAGAGAGGGCGAGAGAGATAACGCATGAGAGGAGAGAGAGAGATAGAGAGAGGGCGAGAGACATAACGCATGAGAGGAGAGCGAGAGAGAGAGGGCGAGAGAGATAATGCATGAGAGCTTGAACGCTTTTCCCTTGATCTGAGGTTTACACGCTATTACCGTAACGCCTAGTATATGCGCGCACGTAAAAACAACGTGGCTGCTAGAATGACCGTGTTTTTCAAAGTGGAGGCTGGCCTGACCGCAGTCATTTACAGTTATTGAGAAAAGTAATAGCCTAGGTAGGCTATCACTGTGCATGTGCTAGAACAGCGATTTGGGCAATAATTTACACCTAAACATTTATATTTTAAACTTTAAAATTCATAGATTTTAAAATAGATATTAAATATCTAAAATAAAGAAATTGGTATTTATACCTGTCCAACCTGACCAATGAGAGAGTATATACGGGCCATTGTGTGACGCTCTTCTGCATTTCAATGGGCGTGTCTTCAGAGACATTCACGTTGAGCAATTTACGTGCGCACAGGTGTTGAATTTCAGGAAGAGCAGGGTTGGATTATGTAGGTGTTTTGAGTTCAATCTGAAAAGTAGACTGTCAAAAATTGCCACTTTCTCTCGCGATCCTGTATCTGTCAGGTATTTTAAATCAGTTGGATCTTTAATTAGAGTTAAACCTTCAAAATGAGTAAAATTTCAAAACTGTTTAAAGTTAGCTCATCAAGCTCATCCAGCTCCAGGCCTAGTTCTGGTTCTAGTTCTGGATCCAGTTCTAGATCTAAGCATCGGTTTCGGTCTAGTCCATCACCTCAAGAGGCCATCAACAGACTGAGAGAGACCGAGGCCATGCTAACCAAAAAACAGGAATACCTGGAGAGCAGAATCGAGCAGGAGATCATGATTGCCAAGAAGAATGGCACCAAAAACAAGAGAGGTATGTAGAATGGGTCTTTCTGCTTATGAGCTCTTTATGGCCGTGTAGACTTTTAGTAGCCTATACAACTCGAAATACAATTTTCAAATTAGGTATGGTTTATTTATTTCGCTTGTGTAATTTACAACATAAAGCATCATAGGAGAATTGTCATTTTTTATCCTTTTGTCTGCTTTTGTCGTAAACATGTTGGCTAAACAAACGTTTGAACTAATGAAATAAAACAGGTACAACAGGTTCTACAAACTGTGGGACAGTCATTATTTGTGTAAAAATGTATTAAATAAAATAATTTCAACATATTTACCTAAATGTTTTATTTGACTCGTCATATAGTTTTAAACATTATAGTTCAACAACAAAAAAACGTATTCAGTATAAAATAGCAAAAATAATGGTTAAAATTCTCAAAGATATTTTATTACCCTTTTTATAATCAGCTGTAAATGATTAAAAGCAAGCTGTCTGTTATATAATGTGCTATCATAATTTACATCTGGAAAGTGTAACAACACCCCACTGAAACATGTCAGTGAAACATGGCTTTTGTTTATGTGGAGTGACGCCCTGTCGCACAGAAAAAAATATGCAGTTCATCTGGACACTCCTCATTGTCTACAATTGTCCCTTTGTGCATTTACACAAGCATGTAGTTTACACCCAGATGCCATGGTTGAGCATTCATTTAAAAGGCATGTCTTAAATGGATTTATATGAGCTTTCTATCTGATCTTACATGTATTTTTTTTTCATTTGATTTAGCAGAATTGACTGAAGTAAACCTAATTTCTGCATGTAAAATTTTACCTATTCCAAAACAATGTCTGACTTTTCTTGTTCACAAGCTGTGCTGATTGTTTCTTTAGTTTCCCTTAGTAGTGAAAGAGAACAACTTTAAAAAAAAATCTTTTAAAAATGCAATTGATCATATTCATGAAGATATAAAACTAAAATAATTTAATTATCATATTTTACTTTTGCTGTGGAATGTATGATGATGATGTCAATAAGATGCAACAATATTAGATCCCAACATTTTTTTTTTAGCTGCACTTCAGGCTCTTAAGAGGAAGAAACGTTTCGAACAGCAGCTGACGCAGATTGACGGGACCCTGTCCACTATTGAATTCCAGCGAGAGGCCCTTGAGAATGCCACCACGAACACAGAGGTTCTGAAGAACATGGGTTACGCAGCTAAAGCCATCAAAGGGGTTCACCAGAACATGTGCGTGTCGTCATTGCTTTTGTTTTTCCAGTTATCATCACTTATTACTCAGCTCTCAGGAATACTTGATTTGATTGATCAATACTAGAAAATTACGTAGTGATTTTTTGTTTTTTAATAATGACTGACTATTGCATACATTCGTTTTGTAAATATTCAAATGTACCAGTGGATTAAACAGTAAACCTACTGTTTCTGTGCTAATGTCATCACATCCTAAATCATTGTCTCTCTCGCTTTCAGAGACCTGGATAAGATTGACTCCCTTATGCAGGACATTACAGAGCAACAGGAAGTAGCTCAAGAGATCAGTGATTCCATCTCAAAACCTTTTGGGGATCAGTTTGATGAGGTAGGTGTTACAAATTAAAAAAGAATAATGAATTGCCCTCACATGTAAAGTTGAAGAGGGTTTTGACCTTTCTTTCTTTCTTTCTTTTTTTCTTGCAACTTTTTGAATGTTTCTAGCAGGATGTTATCTAGAATGTTATTATAGCAGGCAGCATAGTTTGTTTACTTTGATTTATGAAGTGATCTGTGCTCATTTAATTTTTTTTAAGGATGAATTGTTGGCAGAGCTGGCGGAGTTGGAACAGGAAGAACTAGAAGAAAGTATGAAGAATATGGGCAGGTTACCAAGTGTACCAACCATCAAACTACCCAGCACAAGGCCAAGCCACCGGGCAAGTAAGTATATAAACACCTACACACTCAGTTTCTACAAACCATTTACAATTCAGCAAAAGACCAATCAGGCCTTTTATACAGTCACTGCTTCATCTAAGTTTCTGTTATTTCACCCTTTCAGCCTCAAAGAAGAGAGTGGAGGATGATCATGACATGAAGAAGTTGGCTGCCTGGGCTTCATAAGCAGCCGTACACACACACACACACACTCTTTCTCTCTTTCTTCTTTCTACTTTTTGTTAACTTGCACTCTCTCTCTACATCTAAGAATTTGTCAAATTATTATTTTTATTTTTTTTGTATAAAAAAGAAAGAAAAGTAGAGAAATTAAGCTGAACATTTGTAATTGTATTCAAAGTAATTATTTTGTTATGTATTGATCTTTAAGATGAAGGATTACTGCTGGAAACTTGGTGTACATAGTAACATTTTATTAGTGAAGGATGTTTTAATTAAATGTAAATATCGATTAAAACGTAGTTTTAATTAAATGTAAATGTTGAATCAGGATTTGGAAAAAAAATAAAATGTTACATATTCAATAATTACATAAGTGCATGATTTAAGAGTGTTTACAATGTTGTAAAGTCTTGGTTTTGACACAAATACAGTTAGTAACTAGTACAAGTAACCATGGTACTACCGTGTTTCTGGAAAAGCAAAGAGCTTGTCTGAACCCTCATGTCCGCTAGATGGCATCGTGAGCTCGCTTTGAGCGACTCGTTTCGAATCGGTTTATTTTAATCATTTGTTTCTAAGAACTTTTTCAATACCGTTTTTTTTATTATTATTGTTTTTATTCATAAAAGTGTTTGTTGTAATCTGCACCTTTTCCGTTTAGTCATGATTCAGCTAATAAAACTATAACATAATTTAGAACCTTTACTTCATTTGCAATTACATTAAACTATTCTAATATTCATTTAAATATCTGGGGTAAATGTTGATAAAGGGCTAACTTTTCAATCTCAACCTAGGCGTAAACATATTTCAATATTTTGTTTGCAACAATTGTTCTTCAATAGTTTATTCGAGAACCGTTCAGATCGGTTCAACTGATTCTTTGAAAAGATCCGACTCAAAGTGATTCATTCATGAATCAGATTCGGACAGCTCTCGCGCCCTTCAAGAGGCAAGCAGGAAATCGCTCTTTTCTCCCGGATTACTGACACGTCCAAAGTTACGAAAAGGCATCGCCATCGTCATGAGCTCAAACAGACCGTCAGATTCAACCGGTAAGTTGTTTTAAAGTATAATGTTCAATAATACTTTATCGCAGCAGTTGTAGTTAAATTGGGCTTTGTGCGTACGAACGTTACTGTAGCCGGTGAGTGTGTGTCGAGTGAATGTGACACGTCTCGCTGTTTCCGCTGCTCTCAGGTAACTTATGACACTCACAGGTGGACTAAAGGCACAGCAGAAACTCACATTATAAAACACACATCCATGAGTTTTTCATTATGAATCAGATTAAAGAGTTAAAGAGTAATTTACAGTGACTGTTTTACATACGAGCACCATTTAGTCGATCATAGCTCCAGTGTGTTTTAGAGTGCAAGTCTTATTTGAAGACTCAATGGTGAGTTTTTATAGGAATACGTGTAACTTAATGCTTTAATGTTGCTTGGCAGATTAGCTGAATATTTTGAAAATAATAATAAATGTAAAGGTCTTGGACATCTATTTCCTCCTTGCTTAAGCCTTAAGGAGAAACTATGTCGTAAGATCACATTTCAGATATAGACACTCTGTGCTTTCAGAGTTTACATCATTGAGAAAATCCTTCCTGATTAAAGCTTCCTTGACGTGTATGTCTCCATAATGAAATAGATTCTAGGTAATTATAAAAATGTTAATTAAAATACAATGTAAACATACCATTCAAAAGTTTGGGGTCGGTAAGATGATGATAGAATAGTTTCTAAAGGATCATGTAACAATGAAGACTGGAATAATGGCTGCTGAAAATTAGCGTTGTTATCACAGGAATAAATTCCCTTTGAAAATACCTTAAATATATATAAATAAATACATGAAAATATTTGTTTTAAATTGTAATAATATTTCACAGTATTATTGTTTTATTGTATTTTTGATCAAATAAATGCAGCCTTCGTAGGCATTAGAGACTTCTTCAAAAAAACATTGAAAAATTTGACAGAACACACAGTTTTAAACAGTAGTATAACACACAACACATTAACAAATTTGTAATAAATAAAATAATTAGGCAGTACAGTTATTGCCCTCATTTATGATCCAGATAATTAATGCAACTTATAAACTACATAGCCTTGGATGCTCAATATATACAAATGTGTCATGTCATAATTATGAAGGTGCCATGTCAGTCTTATGCACACCCCTTCAAGTAAAGTGTTACCTAATAATGTATTGGTACCTTACAGCTGATGACCAACTCGATCCTGAGGAAGAGAGACGGTTGGCTGCAGCTGCACGTGAAGCTAACCGTCTCCCAGAGCTCCGGCTGATCCTGCTGGGTTGGCGATGGCCAGGTAAAAGCCTGACCGGCAACACCATTCTGGGCCGCGAAGAGTTTCGTCTGGAACGTGCCGCTGAATTCTGTGTGAAGCGTGAAACTGAGGTGGATCAGCGTAAAGTAACAGTAGTAGACACTCCTGGCTGGTTCTCAGCCCAGACCACACCGACGGACTACCAGCAGGAGATGGTCCGAAGCGTTACTTTGTGCCCACCTGGACCCCATGCGTTCCTGCTGGTCATACCTGTGGGCATGTTCACAGAAACAGACCGGGCTCGTATAGAGGAGAACTTAGCACTTTTTGGGGAGGATGTGTGGAAGCACACCATGGTGGTGTTCACCTGGGCAGAGGTTTTAAAGGATAGGTCCATAGAAAGACACATACGAAGGGAAGGTCGTGACCTTCAGTGGGTGGTGGACAAGTGTAAGAAGAGGTACCACGTCATCAATAACTATATTTTTGGCGAGCACCCGCAGCTGCCCCAGCTGATGGAGAAGGTTGAGAAGATTGTTGCTGAAGAAGGTGGTTACTTTACCCTTAAGACAGATGAAACCAAAACACAAAGTCAAACTCCGAGTCTGAATCTGAATACCAATTCATTGAAAGAGAACAGGGAGCTTGGCGCTAGACCCAAACAGAACGGCTCCTGCAACTCACTGCGGGCCATGGACATGGACCCTCCGCAGAGTGAGTTAATGTCAACGCATACAATACACAATAGCATTCACAGTGCTGTTCTAGTTATTAGCATTTTGTTTCTTATTGTATCCGGGACATCAAACTTTTGTTCTGATAAAGTTTGAATTCAGTACCTCTTACGTCATGTTAGACTGTCACTCTGTTGTTTATTTTGGAAATTGATGCTGACATCTTCAATATGTGTGTCTTTATTTTACTGCACTAATGGCTCATGTTATAACACTATTTATACATAATTTATTGAACTAGAAGTGACCAATCAAGGAAGCAAGCATTTCCGTTGCTCCTACTACAAAAAATTATATATTTTTAACACCAGCTACTAGAATTTTTTTTGTATGTTTATGAATACAATGTATTTTTTATTATACTTTATTTTCTTAAATAGAAAAAAAATTAACAAAAAATAATTACAAGATGCATTAAATTATTCATTACTGAATAACAAATAATGTACTGCTGACAAACGTTGTAATGACAGCTGTAAACGTTGTATAAACAGCAATTGTTTAAAGTCCTGTCACCTGAAAGTAACCCGTCACTCACATGAGATTGCAGCAGTAGCAAACAACAATCCAATCAATTCACAAATAACAATTAAATCCCACCCAACATTCAAGAGGCCACTTCACTCAGAAATGCGTCACAATAGGAAAGTAAAGACGATCACGACTACAGTTTAATGCTGACTTTAATGTCAGAAATTTGTTTTAATAATATAATTTATTTTTAAATACATATTTTCTTTAAAAAATGAATATTAAGTTATTCATTAATAACGAATAATGTACTATAATGTAACACTGATTTAATATATGTAATATATAATATAAATATATATTTTTCATTAAACATTGTTTGCTTTTAAAAACTGTTAGCAAACAACAAAAATAATACTATTAAATTAATATATTATTAGGTTGCAAATTATTTATTTAATACTCACCACTATATTGTAACTGTATTTGTATTCACCAGACATAAAATTGATTCAGTATTGTAAAATAGGGCCAGTTGCATAAAAGGTTTAGACTAGGCTTACAAGTTAGTCATCTAATTTTTTTAAGACTGGTCATATTTTTAGTTGAATCCAAAAATATGACCAATTACCTTTTGGCTAACTGCTAGTTGGTTAAACTTATTCTAAGTGTTATTATTGTAGTGGGCGGGTGTTTCTCTTTAACAGTCCAAAACACGTTAAATAAAGCACACGCATCTATAATAAAACGTGCCTCACATGGTTCCGGGGCATGAATAAAGGCCTCCTGTAGCGATTCTATGTGTTTTCATAAGAAAAATATCCATATTTCAAACGTAATAAACACTTTTCTCTCACTTCTGCTGACTGTCATATGCGGAAGGCGTTCCGGCAGATGACGTATGTGTCATGCGCGCCTCTGAGATATGTTAGTCTTAGTGGTTCAACGGATCACAAATCTCACGGTTCGGATCACATTATGGTTTTTGACCCACGGATCGGATCATTTTTCGGATCAGCAAGAAAAGAAAAATATTTCAATATAACTTGCTTTCCATTTATTACTTAAAGCGAAGTACTTCTTTGATACCACAGCAAATACTACTAGATTAACTAAGAAAGTTTAAACATGATTAAAGGGACAAGAGAACAGCCAGTAAAAATAAGAACAAATACACAAATTACAAGCATAGATAAATACAACAAAATATGTTACAAATAAAATAAGGTTGGTAGTATTCAAATACAGAAATGTAATAATTAGGGAAAATAACACTGCATAGTGTTCACTGTATAAATTTAAATATAGATTTTTGTCTCAGCTGTTTTGTTGGTTGATGATCATTAATGACAGCAGCAGTATTTATAGGCCGCTGTCCCTTTAAGACCTGATGCACGGATCCGATATAATGATACACATCACATCCGATTTCTTTCTTAGCTGTTTTCATTCACTTGAGACATAACTGACTGCGTTTACCTGAATGATTGTCGAGATGGGTATTTTGTCATAATTTTATGTGTATGTGTCTGTTCAGAGGATTCAGAAGAGGATTCAGTTAGGTGTTCGTGCGCCGTCTGAAACGCGTGTGAGCACTTCATATGTGTGCGGCTGTGCGCGTAGAGAACAGCGCGCAAGTACCGAATCGAGTTCCCTTTCGCCTTTTCTCCCTGGAATTGTTTAAAATTCGCTTGCTTGTGTAAATACGAACAAATGATAAACTTATACTCTATTATGGTTACATTTTGCAATTAATCCGTGGATCACATGCGTGCCGAACCGTGGGGCTTGGTCCGTACGGATCACAGATCAACTACGATCCGTTTAACCACTAGTAAGTCTCACAAGTTTGTTGACAGGAGCAAAAGAAGCAACGTTTCCTTACTTTAGCAAAGGAAAACCAGTCTCCTCTTGGCTTATGTTGAAATCCTCCAACATTTTTCTTTATAAATCCTTGTTTTGTGCTTCTAATTCATGACCGGCGTTTTGTTTTGTTCTCTCTCCGCGTTCGTCACTAATCACGCAAAGCCGTCGTCCTGCGTCATCCGCCGGAACGCCTTCCGCGTACGACAGATGGCGGAAGTGATAGAAAAGTGTTTATTACGTTTGAAATATGGATATTTTTCTTACAAAACACATGGATTCGCTACAGGAGGCCTTTATTCTCCCCCCGGAGCACGTTTTATTACGGATGTGCTCACTTTATTTAACGTGTTTTGGACTGTTGAACAGAAACACCCGCTGACTGCAATGATAACGCTTAGAAGTACCAGGACAATTTTATACACCTCATATACACCTAGGATGGCTTGAGGGTGAGTAAATAACAGGCTAATTTTCATTTTTGGGTGAACTAACCCTTTAACATAGAAGCTAAATTTATGCAACTGGCCCATAGTGTAGTAGTGAAAACTTTTTTTTTTACATGACACGGCATTGCATTTGTATCATGTCATTTCTTTTTGTTATCTCTGCAGGTTTGGTTGAAGGAGTGAGTGACTAAGGCTGAGATAACCGTTCCAGTGCTGCTGTATTCATTACCTCAATTCCCCTGCACTTAAATGATGAAACACCCACTAGCCACATATCAATCCACCAGTCTAGGCAGCTTCAGGTTGTAGGGTTTACAGGCAAATGTCGCTGTACTATATACATCTTACCCCAGAAAATATAAGATGGTAACAATACAAATTATTATCATCAAAGGTTGAATTGGTGTTAGTAAATCAGTTGTACAACATTAAAACCATTTGTGTCCATTGGCGCAGAGAATATTGAGGTAATGCAGTCATTAGTCAAACAGAAACGCTCAACATTCATTAATTATTTGCACTAATGAGTTTAGCACAACCTAATAGCTTGTAAAATGCCTCAATGCACTAATATTGTTATGAGAGATAAGAGTCTGTCGCGGTCACATTATTGTAGCATTGGTTAGTTATATTGGTGTCAGTTGCTATGGAATTGTAAATTGTCCAAAACCATGTTACATTTTCCAGTTATTTCACATCAGAGTTAGCTGCTGTTTCAGGTATTTCAGATACAGCTCGTTTGCATGTTTTCTAATGATATTATTTTCTAGTAATCATTATTGCTGTTTTATTATTTAAGTGTGTGCTTAAATGATTTTAAGGTACTGATTGTTTTAGGATTACTGTGATGTTTACTTTTCTAAATGTATTTGTTTCTTTCTAAATGTTTTTTTTTCTCTAACATTCTATATCAAGTGTACTTCATTATAAATGGTTTCCTTTAACACTGTTAAAGTTCTGTCACTTTCAAGAGTATCAACATGAGTATCTGCTATTAATTGATTTATATTAATGCATCCTAGATCTGTTGACATTTCTGAAAGCCATAAATATCTGCTTCCCAAATGTCTGTGTGACCACCTTGACATGTGCGGTTTTCAGTCTTTCAGTTGTTTGATGCAGTTAGAGTAGGTTTTACCAAATTGACTCTGAATTTGAGTCCGATAATAACATTGAATTAATCTTGCCCTTTACATGTCGTTGCACATTTGTTATTGCGTATAACCACTAGGTGGCGCCATAATTTATCAAAATATGTGAGAATATCGGGGATTTTTTACTGTTGTGGTCTAAAATCACAAGCAGGGCTGTGATTAACTGTAATTATTTTATTCTATATGTATCTTTATATTCAATATTAAAATGGCTAAGACTGATGTTAATAAACCCAGAACATAAAATATGTGGCTAAAAATAAAGACAACACAATCATGTTGAAAACACAGATCAGTTATAAACCAGAGCTGCAGAAGGACAAATCTATAGTCCATTAGGACCACTAAAATTACAGAAACATTTTTCCACTCCACTGTAGACCGCTTGTATATTGAAATCAATGCATGGGCACTCAACCCATAACCCTGCAGTGTATTGATCAGCAAATCAACAATTTCAGCATTGTTTGATGGTGATGGTAGTGTTTTGTTCTTTGTTAACGTCCTTGATAGTATAAGCGGATGGGTGTCCACACTTCTGCCTGTAAGTTAGATATCAGCAGGCTGCTTAAAAGTTAATAAGAAAAAGTTAGAAAACTATCAACAAATGCTACCAACTACATAACCGTGTATCTCTTGTTTTAAATTATGTTTATCTATTTACATTTACATTATATATACACTACAGTTCAAAAGTTTGGGATCAGTAAGACTTGTAATGTTTTTTAAAGAAGTCTCTTATGCTCATCAAGGCTGCATTTATTTGATAAAAAATACAGACAAAAGGCAATAATCTTGCAAAATGTTATTACAATATAAAATAATGGTTTCTATATTAATATCCTTTAAAATATAATTTATTTCTGTGATGCAAAGCTGAATTTCCATCAGCTATTACTCCAGTATAAAGTGTCGCATGATCCTTAAGAAATCATTCTAATATGCTGATTTATTATTAGAATTATCAATGTTGGCAACAGTTGTGCTGCCAAATATTTTTTTGGAAACTGCAATACTTTATTCAGGATTCTTTGATGAATAAAAAGTGAAATAGAACAGAATTTATTCAAAATATAAATATTTTCTAACAATATAAATCTTTGGTATCGCTTCTTATCATATTAGAATGATTTCTGAAGGATCATGTGACACTAAATACTGGAATAATGATGCTGAAAATTCAGCCTTGCATCACAGGAATAAATTAGATTTTAATGTGTATTAAAATAGAAAAACTTTATTTTACATCATAATAATATTTCACAATATTACATTTTTTCCTGTATTTCTGATCACATAAATGCAGCCTTGATGAGCATAAGAAACTCCTTTAAAAAACATAAAAAAGCGTTCTGATCCTAAACATTTGAAAGGTAGTGTGTATGTATATATATATACATATATATATATATATTAAAAAGTAGTTGTTCTTCACATGCACCATGTGAAGTAGTAATCTATTGTTGTTCCATTAGATCCCTTGTGGTTCTCTGCATATAGCAATGAATGACAATTGTATGAGGATTCTACGACAACTTCAACATTATACGAGTCTTTTGTAACCCAGAGATTTGAGGAGACATTCCATATCGGGAAAACATGCGGGAAGCGATTCAGCAGTTGGCAAGAGGAATTCAAGTATACCCATAGGACTGTTGGGATTGTCAAGAGGCCCATTTCTTATGCCTAAGTTTTGCATTTCCCCAAGAAAAGAGCTGGGGGTGAAAAAACATTTTGAGAGAGAACATATTTTGTAATATTCCCCGTTGTCCATGGCAATGCTTCTTTGTCAGTGTTTTTTTTTTCTTTTCTTTTCTTTTCTAATTACATTGTAATGCACTTTTATTCTTACCGGAAGCTACGAAAAAATATGTATTTCAGATCCAATAATTTAATGTTCAAGTATTTATGTAATTGGAAAATAGTAGACAAGTTAATTACATAATTACAAATCTCAGAAAAAATATCCAGTGAAATCCTCTTCTGACCCCGTCCTTCACCTCACCCCCTTCCCATCTGAGTCAGCACAGACAAAACATTTACTTTTAACTATGGTGCTTCCCAATAAAACAGTACGTAAATCCCACGTTCAAGGAACCCCTTAGCCTCAGCAATTCCTCTTTAAATGACAATGTGTTACCATCTTGCCTTTATAAATACTCTTTGGCTGGAAATATCACTGTTTCCCTTTAAACAAAATAGCAACCAAAAAAAAACAAAACAGGAAAATGACACAAAGCCAGACTGGAAAATAGTCAAAATACCAGTGTAGTTGAGTGGCTTAAATAGGTACTAAATGTGATGTGCAATGAATCACAATAGGATTTATTTAAATGATTTTCATGAAAGAACCAAATCCTCAAAACCCGCATAATGCATTTGTGTAATTTGAACCTCTTTGCATTTGCTATTTACATCAAACAAACTGAATCTAATAACCGGAAGCTGTTTCGTTCTTAATATAATATTGTTATTCTACATGGAGTCAAGCGTGACCCCATGCTCCCCATCCCTAAGATGGCCATCTGTGGTATATCACTCTTTGAGTGGCAGAATATATATGTGAGGGTACTTCACTTGAGCAGGCACATGTTTACACAGATCTCACATTTCCTGTCCCAGGTCTCCTGGATTTCCGTAGTTCCTGAGCCATTAGGTTCTGGATCCTGTAGCCATTGTAACAGGCTATTTTTCAGCACACATAGTCGCTTCTCTCTTCCTCTCCGAACAGGGAAGGGACTCACGGTCAGTTAGTATCTGAACACCCACTAAACTCACTAAAGAGAGGATGGCAGAGAGACTAATATGAAAAGCACAATACTGGAATATACTTACTTTACAAGCGTCTGTTGTATTAATCTTGGTGAGTACTATGGCATATATATTTTTTTGCTGTTGTTACATATATTTATCTTACATTTCATGTTTTTTGCAAAGCTCTTTGAGCTATTGCTTGTATGAAAGTGCTTAATAAATGAGGATTATTATTATAATATTTAAAGCAATGCCTCATTTATGTACAGAAAGGCATAAAGCAAAAATATAATTGCTTTTCCTCTAAGTCTAATTTATTACGATGAATTTATTAATTTATTACAATGAAATTAATATGGGTCTACACTGTAAAATTTCAAGAACATCAAGAAAATGTGACGTGTTGCTTTTCTGACCAATTTTCCTACTAAATGTCAGTAAAGACAGATCTGTAAAGAAAGAACTATGATCTGATCCCATATGATCTGTATTTTTCCCCATTAAAGCCACAAGCTGAAGTCATGAGATCATCATCCTCTCGTCTTAGTTTTTCTTCTAAGGAACCTATATGGAACCGGTAAGAAGTTCTGTTTTTAGATAGGCTATATCAGCGATCAAATTACTGAAAACTAAATATTTGTATATAAAATAAGTAACTAATTGTGTGATATCTGTCCATTTTTCCACTGTTATGTGTCAAAAATGCAATGCATTGAGTAAATTTTACATGCATTTCATCATTTAACCTGTGGGAGTCGCACTTGTTACATTAACAATACTGGATACTTCACTTAAGTAAACATACACATAAACTCAAACTCACATTGATAATTTATTATACACACACTCCAACACTGTAGAAATCGCATGATCTACAGTAACTTATTACTTACAGTAAAGACGCTTATAGTGAAACCAGTGCAGACAATTTTGTCATACTGTGCAACGAGCAAGCATTTCATACTGCATTATTGTATAATGTAAATAGTGGGGTTTGTTTGAAGTCACCATTATTGGTCTTTGACTGGAAACTCTGGCCTTATTTAATTGTATGCTAGTTGCTGTAATAGTGTAACAGGATGTAATGTTGCATAAAAAAGCTATAGCACAATGATTGACATAAGACTACACACTATTTTTACAGCGTGTTTTTCAGTATTTAGAGATAATCTAGAGACAAACTTTTTAAAAAGAGAACGAATGCTTTATTAGCCTCTTTTACTTTTGACAATATATAAAAATGCCTTTTTCGCTAACTTGTCTGAACATATTGTTTTGTCCACAGAAATCTAGCTAGACCAGAAACACAGGCCTATATTTTAATACATTTCACAGATACATGATACCAACCACTAGACTGCTGCCCACGGAGCCAGTGTGAGTGGGTTTAGTGAGAGTAGAGGCATGCGCAGAAGGGTGGGTGGGTGAATGTAGAGCAGAGCGCGCGGATGTCACACACCGCGTTGCGCATTTCACACGGTCTGAGTGCAGGGGCTTGCCATACTATCAGGGAGCGAACAGGCGCTTGACAAACAGCGGAGTATGAATGCACGCACAGACATCCATGCACGGGAATATCATTCGCTAAGACACTAGCAGAGTATTGGTCGTAAACATCACGCGGGGGGAACGTTATGTGGGCATCATTTCACGGCGCGTGCTGCTGCTGGAATCGCAACTAAACAACTCTGGTCAACTCTGAGCGTCACGTTCGAAGGGTGAAACGGCTTGCTATCTCAGTCCCCGGGAAAACGACCGAACCCAAAAATAACAGGTCGTTGAGTTTTCTGGAGGCAGAATCGTTTAGCGCGTGCTGCAGCAGCAGCAGCAGGCATCTCGCGCACCGTTAGCTCAACATCTCTACGGCCTCGGAAGTTCATTTGTTTTTCTCTTTTCAATGTTTTTGACCGCCTGAACACACATTTCTATCTATTCCCTGGACGAACCCACGCTTTAGGATGCCAGATCAAATAGCGGTGTCGGAGTTTCTGTCGGAAACAACAGAGGATTACAACTCTCCCACTACATCCAGCTTC